AATATACAACAATCAGCAAGAATTTTTTTTGGTACAGCTGTGATTAAATACTTTCTAATTTCTGAGTTTTATTTTAACTCCATAGCCTTCCTAAAGAAAAATAGCTGCATCCCTGGGAACAGATGACCCCAACATCTAGTTCTGTTTCGTTCCCTCCTGACTGCCAGTGGCAGTAAACAGAGTGGATGCATCTCCTCGCGCTCTGCGCAGGTCGAGTACTAATGTAAACAAAGTCACGCACGTGACACGTAGCGCACCTGGTCGCGAGTCAATAAATTACGCGCCGATAGCTACGTTCGCGTCTCTTTGATCTTCTCGCTGTTGACCTGGCGACGTGCTTCGTGGGTCAATCACTCCGTAAGTCCGTGATTCGGATCTTGTCGGTCTAGAGGTGAGTACACTTATTACTTGGCGTCATCCTGCCCAAGACCAGGTGGTCGGAGCGCTCAGAGGAGCCCTCTGGGGCGGTGGATTGACGCGTATCTGTCGATCGTTACCGAGAGCGGGCGGTGCGGCCGGCACCGTTCGGACCGCCGCTGCGGGCTCGGACAGGGCTCGCTGGCCGTCGTTTTTTTTCCCCGTGTGAAAGGGGAGGGGGGTGCGGCCGGCGAGTGCTACAGGTAAGTGGGGCTGGACGTTCTGACCGTGGAGGTGTCACGCTCAGATTACCCAGCCGACACACACACATTGTGTGCTGTTCAACAACTCCAGGACTGAATCGCGTTCTTCAGTTTTCATTGAAGTCCTCGCTCAGTTCCTGTGTAGTCGCTGGCGTCTCCCACAGGGATGTTGGCGTGTACGTCATGCGGGGCTCCCCTCCAGGTGGAGGACGGCTAGAACATGTGTCCAAATTGTCTGGGCGTCGGTCACCTCTGAGAGGCGCTGACTGACCCATGCATGAACTGCAGCAATTTGCCGCTGGCGGTGCTGGAGGACAGGCTACGTCAAGTAGAGTGCCTCCTGTTTAAGTCAGACCTGCCGCCCTCTGGTATCCTTCATCCGTGTTCCGGGAGACGGAGAGATGGACCGGCTGAGGAACGTGGCTGCCCGAGGCACAAGAAGCGGCGTGTGGCGCACCCCTCTCGCCAGGAAGTGGACACTTCGCGGGTGGAGGTGGAACAGCTCAAAGTGCTGCTGACCAGAGCCCCGGATGAGGGGGGCTCGGACGACCTGATCTCTATGAGGGCCTCAAATTCCAAGTTTCAGTCCCTCGGGGAGGAGGGCCCCTCTCTGGGTCGTAGTCAGGGGCTGGTAGTGGAGCCCCAGGGCCTGGGAGGTCACAGGGACTCGGGGATGTCTCTCCATAGCTCAGAAAGCTCGGAGCTCGCGGAGGACCCCTGTCAGTTGTGGGCGATTTTGCGAGCGGCACTGGCCAGGATTGGACTGGACGACGTGCTGGTGGCCTGTCCGGTAGGGAATCCCTTCTTCCGCCGGGCTCCGCCGGCGCCCCCGTGTCAGGTCCCACCATCACCGGCCTTTGTGGAGGAGCTGCAGCGGTGCTGGGGGGACCGGAGGCAGCTCTCCCACCACGGTAGGGATGCCAGGACACTGGCATCGATGCGGGAGGCAGGAACCTACGGGTTGGACCGCATGCCCCCAGTGGACCACTGCGTTGCTTCTTTAGTGCTCTCCCCGGATGAGGCATTGAGGCACAGGGTTCGCTGTCTGAGCACCCAGTGTCGGGTGACGACAGCTTACTGTGCCGGGCTAACGACATCGGGGAAAGGGTGGTGCGCACCAGCAATTTGCTGTCGGTGCTGTTGCTAGCCCAGTCCCAGATGCTGCAGTCGGACGCAGCGGGGACGGCACTGGGTGATACAAACGACGCAGCCCTGCAAGCGTTTGGGCTGATGTCCAGGGAGCTTGGTCGGCTGTTGGGCACACTGGTAGTGGCTCGCCGGCAGGCCCCGGTGTCGGATGACTGCCGACAGAGCCTGTGCGGGCTGCCCGTGGTGCCGGTGTTGGGTATTTTTATAAATGTACCTTTTTGAGGCCTAAAAGATGCCCATTTTGTGTTAACACTTCATGAATCTCTGTGTTTGCCAACTGTGGCTGTTCATGAAAGGTTGAGCAAGGATGTTGATTGTGGGTTTCCAACTGAAAACTGTACCTCTGTAACCTGAGAAGGCTCCGCCTTCTCCCCCATCCTTTGCTGAATAAAGCCCCTGAGAAACTGAGGAGATTTGGGAGTGATGGGGGAAAAGCCTCGAAGGAGGTTTTTCCCTGCGTTAACTCTCCTTTATTTTGGGGACTCGATAAAATGTCTTCCATGTTGTCAAGAGTGTTTATTTCAGGTTCCAGGGTTATGGAGATTAAATATTACCCCACATGTAATTACTTAACATTTTGGTGGAGAATGCAGGCATGCAGAGCTGGTGAGCTGAAGGCTTTCACCAGGAGCAGAGGGGGCCTGGTTAGCTCCATGGATGGGTTTCCGCCCAGCTCTCGCATGACGATTCACGGACATTACAAATAATCTCTCTCTCTCTCTTTCTCTCTCTGTGTGTCGTCCTTTAAGGTAAAATGGGATAAATCTAAAATTACCTATCAGCCGGGCCAGTTGTTCAGGCCCGAGGCTGAGAGGGCGTTGGAACGTCGAGCGGCAGTCTAGACAGTCCACAGAGGCCTGGAGTGGACGTAGCGGGGCAGGGGTCCACCCCGTGACACAGTCCAGGCCACGAGGGGCACGGGACCCTCGGCGCCGGTTTCGTCCGGCTGCCCCCGTGCAGGTCACCCAGCAGACCGCGGCAGGGACTTGGAGACACTCGCGGGCAGGTCAGGCACCGCCCCGGGGATCCTCGGGGCAGGACTGTGGTTCTCCCTGGCAGAGGCCGATGCCCCGCTGGGGATGGACGCCCTCGCCAATGCCTGGCCATTGATTCGGCTGTACGCTTTCCCGTCTTTCCCGTTGATCTTACCGACCCTCCATCAGGCGAGGGACTCGTCACACGAGGTCCTTCTGGTGGCGCCAGACTGGCCCATGAGGGTTTGGTTTCCGCTGCTTCTCAGTCTGTTGAACGGGGAGCTGTGGCGATTGCCGGCAAGACGGGACCTCCTGTCTCAGATGGAGGGGAGGATTTGGCATCCATCACCAGATCATCTTCAGCTCACGGTGTGGCCATTGAGGGGGGCAGGCAGCCCCCAGTCGGCTTAGAGCCCTCCATCCACCAGGTGCTGGATAGTGCCAGGGCTCCGTCTACAAGGGCCACGTACACTCGCTGTTGGCAGCGGTTCTCTACCTGGTGTTCCGGCAGGGAAGTGGACCCTGGTTCTTGTTCCCTGTATGAGGTTCTGCGGTACCTCTGACACCTGTTTGACTAAGGCCGAGCTGCCTCGACCCTTAAGGTACACCTGGCGGCTATTTCGGCCAACCACCTCTTAGTGGATGGCAGGAGTGTTGGGGCTCACTGTTTGGTGACCCAGTTTCTGCGAGGCGTGAGAAGGTTGCGTCCTCCCTTGTGCAGGCCGGCACCTACTTGGGACCTTCCCCTGGTCCTGCAGGCCCTGTGTGGGCCACCCTTTGAGCCGATGACTACCGCCCCGTTGGAAGTGCTCTCTGTGAAAACCACCTTTCTCTTAGCAGTGACAACGGTTAAATGGGTCAGTGAGCTTCACGCACTGGGCATCAGCCCCGCCTGCCTGTGGTGGAAGGCAGATGGGTCATGGGTGACGCTGTGGCCCAACGTTGCCTTTCTTCCCAAAGTTCTGCCCTTTGGCTACGTAAATGCTGCAATCAAGCTGGGGGCGTATTTCCCTCCCCATTTCATTCGGAGGAACAACGGCGGGCGAATTTGCTGTGCCCGGTCCGGGCACTGCAGCTCTATATTGTGGCCACAAACACTGTCCAGCAGTCGAACCAGCTAATTGTCACGGGGGAGTGAATAGGGGTTGAGCCCTTTCGAAGCAGAAGCTGTCGCATTGGGTCGTGGATGCCATTGCGATGGCTTATGCGGCAGTGGGTGCAGTGGCTCCCCCTGGGATCGTGTGCCATTCCACCAGGAGTGTTACTACATCCTGGGCGGCGATGAGAGGCGTGCCACTGGCGGACGTCTGTGCGGCGGCGTCCTGGGCAACTCCGTGCACGTTAGCACGCTTCTACCGCCTCAACGTTGGCCACGGGTCCATGCTCGCTTTGGCGGTGCTGCCTCTGGCGACTACCTCCTGAGTGAAGGTTAAGTTTTACGTTCCTCGTGACACTGCTGGCATAAGTCATCCACTCTGTTTACTGCCACTGGCAGTCAGGAGGGAACGAAACAGAACGGAAGTTATGGTGTAACTATGGTTCTGTGAGTTCCTGGATGACTGCCAGTCACAGGGGTCACTCGGAACTTCTCGGGCGAGAAGATCCCGGGAGACCCGAACGTAGTTATTGGCGCATAATTTAGACTTGCGACCAGGTGCGCTACGTGTCACGTGCGTGACTTTGTTTACATTAGTACTCGACCTGCGCAGAGCGCGAGGAGATACATCCACTCTGTTTACTGCCACTGTCAGTCATCCAGGAACTCACAGAACCATAGTTACACCGTAACTTCCGTTATATTTTTGCACTTGGCCCTTTCTGAGCTCTTTCACATAGACATACTTGTGTTTTATGATGCATCAGTTGCCTTATCTAAGGTAAACTGGTGTAAGCTAACACAAATGCACATAATATTTCACATATTTCAAGTAAATGTAAAAATGGACCCAATTAGGTGTTTATAAAACTCGTATTCAACAATAAACAGACCTTACCTGTCACAGCTTTTGCTACAAGGGAAGTGCTATGCTCCTTGTTGCCCCTTAACTGAAATAAATAAGTTAGAGATTATTATCTATCTTTTTATTGAAGAGCAAGTCAACCCCTACCAGAGTCTAACTCCACTCCCACTTCATGTTTGAAAAATGCAACAAATGCTGTTGACTGGCAGACCGAGAGGGAGGAGCTGCTAACAAATACACACACACACACACACAGGCTCACGACAGCATTATGACATCATAATGTACCAGTTTACATCATAGCATACCTCTTAGCCAATAGCGGTGGCAGATTTAAATTAAAATACAGTGCAGAGTTTTTACCTGACAACGGCACAACACTGCCAGTTTTAGGCAGAATATTTAAATTTTAACTAAGATGCACTGAAGTGCCAAATTATTGATGACACGTGTCTGCAGCAAAAGTTTTTTGGGGGGTGACTTGCTCTTTAAATAATGACAAAACTGCATGCTTTGTTTGCATTTTGCTGTCTTAAATGCTCCAATGACAAATACAACATTGCATTTTTTGATTTTGTCCCTTTTTCTGTTCATGCACCTTTTCTCCCAGTGGATTACTGTTCATAAAGAGTCAAAATATACTCAACACTTTACTGTGTTACTATGAAAGACTGTGAAACTCGTGTTAAAACAAAAACCAGGTGAAACGTGTTCCATATTTCTGCTACGTGGCTTTGCGTCGCTAGCCTCCTCCAATGATGGTTTGTTCGCTGACGACTTTTCTCCAGATAATGTCATAAACAAGTATCTTACGAACCATAAAAATATGCCAACTGTTAGTATGTCTCACCTGGGTGTCGGTTTCTGGTGGCCATTCATTTATAACCAGTAAGTCGTACAAAATGTTTTCATCTTCGTCTTCTATCAAGCTTTTGTCAGCCATGATAACTCAACTGTCAGAGCAACTACGGCGAATCGCGAGGGGAAAAATAAATAAAAACTGCGTTGAACCGTTATCCAACGGGATAAAAGTGAGGTTCACAGTTTCGTCTGGAAATATAAATTTTGAATATAAATATTAATTTACACGCGAATACTCTGCAGCTCAGTGTTATATTAAATGTGATTAGTTACGCAGTAGTTTACCATGCGGAACCAATCTTGCTGGGTCATTAAACGAGTTGCACCGTAGATACGTCACATCCGGCTGGGTTTCACTCGTTGGAGCAATAATGGCAGCCTTTTCTGGTAAAATGTTTGCATTTAATTTCTTTTCTTCGCTGTAATTTCATTGAACTTTTTAATAGCTGACGGTTTTTAAAGACCACCCATCTGGAAACATTAAACTTGTCTTTTTTATTGACAGAAATGGGAGTTATGCCTGAAATAGCGCAGGCTGTGGAAGAGATGGACTGGCTGTGCGTTACTATATATAATATATATGTAGAAACTGCTGAACGTAACCATGTTCTTTTTGTTGTTGTTATTTTAACATTTAACTAATTATATGTTATTTGATCATTTGTGATTTCAGACTACCCACGGACATCCAGGCAGAGTCTATTCCCCTGATTCTCGGTGGAGGAGATGTACTCATGGTGAGATTGTTTACACATTTTCTTTCTTCCAAATGCAAATAACTGCTTTTTTGACAACTGAGTCACCCCCTTTCTCCTTTTAAGGCTGCAGAAACCGGAAGTGGCAAAACAGGAGTAAGTAAAGCCGCATTATTCTGAAATATAACAATAAAATAGCAATTTATAGAATGTATTTTGCATCAGATGCAAACAATTTGCTGTTTTTATTTTTATCACAAGGCGTTCAGTATCCCAGTGATTCAGATTGTGTATGAGACCATAAAGGATCAGCAGGAGGGCAAGAAGGGCAGAGCTCCAGTCAAAACTGGAGGAACTAGTGAGATCTTCATTGTCATAAAATAAAATAATCATTTACTGTCAAATTATGTGGCTGTTATGCTATAAAACAGATAGGAAGATGATACTTTTGTGAAAGAACTGCAGAAAATCTTTGTTTTGTTCCAGTTTTCAACACCTGGCAGATGAACCCATATGATCGTAGCACACAGTTTGGTGAGCCTGAATTAGATTAGCCCAACTTGAAGACAATCAGATGAATTTCTAGAGAATAAGAGTCTTTTTTCAGCTTTATTTGCTTGTATTCTTTGTTTTATTTTATTTTTGATGCATCTTCATAGCTATCGGACCTGATGGCCTGTGCTGTCAGAGCAGGGAGTTTAAAGAGTGGCACGGCTGTCGGTCCACTAAAGGCGTCACAAAAGGTGTGAAAAGCCAAGAACTACCTGAAAATGAATTTTAATAACAGATCTTTTTGAATAAATCTACTAATTTTTGGTACATTATTGGTGTAATTTACTCAGCTTTCTTCTTATTTGTGTAGGAAAGTACTACTATGAAGTGAGCTGTCAGGACCAGGGTTTGTGCCGTATCGGATGGTCCACCAGTCAAGCAGCACTGGATCTGGGTGAGCTCCAAAGAGTCATAGTTCATCAGAACCCACTTCTGTTCTATCTCCGTTAAATAGAAACCTTTTTTTCTTTTACATAACTAGGAACTGATAAGTATGGCTTTGGCTTTGGCGGCACTGGAAAGAAGTCCAACAACAAGCAGTTTGACAGCTATGGAGAGGTACCAAATCTGACCTACCTTAAGACTCATAGAGGATACTGGAAACACATTTTCAGGCATCTTTTCACTTCCACTTTGCAGGAGTTCACCATGCATGACACGATCGGGTGCTACCTGGATCTAGACAAGAATCAGATTTCATTCTCTAAAAATGGTGCTGTGCAAGTGGTCAAACGTTTGATTATAATTAAATGGATTTGGTTATAAAAAATAAGAAGTTTGAACTAATCTTTTGCTCTCTCATTCATGAAGGAAACGACCTGGGTTTGGCATTTGAAATCCCTCAAAACCTGAGGAATCAGGCTTTCTTCGCCTCCTGCGTTCTCAAGGTCTCCACTGACGAAATACTTCCACCGTGAAATAGAAGAAAGCATCTTAATATGACTTCTTATTGTTTTGTTAGAATGCTGAGCTGAAGTTTAACTTTGGAGGAGAACATTTTAAATTCCCACCTAAGGAAGGGTTTGTGGCTCTGGATCAGGCATCGGAGGGCCACACAGTCAAATCTTCACAGACAGGTACCATTAAAGCCACCTTTTTAAACAAGGTTGATATATTTCTATAAAAAACGACTTGCTGATTAGTTTGCTGTGCTCTGGGAATGTACAGGCAGTGCCAAAGTGAGTCAAGTGAAAACGTCATCAAATGCTCCCAAAGCCCTGATCATTGAGCCGTCTAAAGAGCTGGCAGAGCAAACCTTCAACAACGTCAAGCAGTTTAAAAAATATGTGGATAATCCTAAATTAAGGTGGGACTGGAGATAAAAACACACGAAGACTCGGACTGTGTGTGATTCCTGCAGAAAACATCTTTCATGTCAGTAATTCCTATATATGACCAGTAGGTGGAGCCAGTGTGATTGTTGTTTTGTCACTGCAGGGAGCTTCTGGTGATCGGTGGTGTGGCAGCCAAAGAACAGCTGGCTGTGCTGGAACAGGGGGTAAGTGATGTAAAGCCTTCAAATGCTGGTTTAGTTAAAACCCGTTAAAATAAACACACACTGTCGGTCTGGTTTTGTTTTTCCTTCAACCAGGTGGACATAGTGGTGGGAACGCCCGGCAGGCTGGATGACCTCATCTCCACCGGGAAGCTGAGTCTGGCCCAAGTCCGTTTTCTGGTCCTGGATGAGTGTGTACGTGTGATGCATCTGCAGTGTCTGAGCGAAACACACAAACGCCTCTTTCATTTCAAATATACCGCACAAGCCCGTGTCCGTTAACCTGAGAGGACAAAACGTCTGCTTGTAAAAGTGGCTTTAAAATGTAAACGTCTGTTTTTGCTGTTTCATAGATCTGTTAAACAACGTCCGTCCTGCTCAAGTCTATAAAAACGTTGTCATTTAGAGAAGTTTAGCCTTTCAAAATCCTGTTTGATTACTCACTTATTGTTGTAGTTTATGGAAAATCAATGTTCCTCTAGCTGGTTGCATGAATGTTTTTGTTTTCTACACTTTGGAGTTCAGTAGGAGAGTGAAACTGTGTTTTATGTACTTATCAGCGGTCCGGTTGACCTTTTGACTTCAGTGCAAACAGCAGAAGGTCTAAAGAGTGTCTTCTCTGGGCCACCATTGGAGAAATGGCTGATTTTGGTGGTGAACAATAAAAATCACAGATGTTGCTGCTTTCCTCCCAAACGAAACCCTGATCCCACAGAGCGCGTGACTGTTTGTTGCAGATGTTACAGAATCAGAAACTGCAGTTTGAATGGAAGTCAGTGGGATGTGTTTGTCCTCAGCAGTCCTGATAGACGTGAAGTCGGTTCTTGTTTTGTTTGGGGGGGGGGGGGGGGGGGTAGTTGCAGCAGTGACCCTGAGTAATCAAATTGAAACGTGAAGGGTTAAATTCCTCAAACATGACTCAGCTTTTATAGATTTGAGCTGAAGTTGTTTAAAAGTTCTGAGAAAAAAAGCATAAAAATATTTTTAGCCACTTTTACGAGCGGACGTTTACGTCCTCAGAGGTCGCAAGAGTGTCTTGTTTTGGCTCATTTTTGTTTTCCGTAGCGTTCCCTTGGTCTTCTTCAAAATTCCTAATTGAATTTCAAATGTGGTAAAAAGAAGTTTTGGGACAACATGTTATCCCGTACGCACAAACGACGCTAGAACGGAACGAAGAGGGAAAACTCCTGAGAGTTAAAAACGTAGTATGGCACAGTACAGGAAAGCGGTTGTAACACAAGCCAGGACGTGCTGAAAGTGCCACCAAAGTACAAACTGAAATCATGAATGTTTACTCTCAACGCTAGACGCCCCAACATGGAGGGAAAACCAGGAGCACTTCCTGTAGGCGGAGAGTTCGAACGATGTATAAAATAGATTTTATTACGCTTCATTTGAATAAAAACAGTAAAGTGTTGCTTGTGTTTTCAGGATGGCCTCCTGATTGCAGGCTACACTGATTTTATCAACAGGATCCATAAACAAATCCCTCAGGTGACATCCGATGGCAAAAGGCTGCAGGTGAGCTGAAGAAAGGGTTAATTTCTCACTAGTGACGACTAACAGCTGGGTTCTGTTCCCAGGTCATCGTGTGTTCGGCCACACTTCACTCCTTTGATGTGAAGAAGCTGTCTGAACGCATCATGCACTTTCCCACCTGGGTGGACCTGAAGGGGGAGGACTCGGTTCCAGAGACCGTCCATCATGTGGTGGTCCCCGTCAACCCAAAGACCGACCGTCTGTGGGAACGCCTCGGGAAGAACCACATCCAGGTTCCGCTTGTTGATGCTAGAACATGTTTATCTTACGGACCCGAGTGAAGAACTGATTTCATTCTAAACTTATTTTCCTCTTGGGTCAGACGGATGAAGTCCATGCCAAAGACAACACCCGACCAGGAGTCGGTTCTCCAGGTACCGTTGGTTTTCTTGCTTTGATGGCACACACGGGGGCAGTTTGGGACGTCTACCTCCTAATCGTGTTCATACGTGTGCGCTGTAGAAATGTGGTCAGAAGCTATAAAGGTGCTGAAGGGGGAGTACACGATCCGAGCAATTAAAGAACACAAAATGGACCAAGCCATAATCTTCTGCCGCACCAAGATCGACTGTGACAACATGGAGCAGTACTTCATCCAGCATGGAGGAGGTGAGACGTTAGTTTCACCGTCTGGTTTCCAGTCGGCTCACATTTCTCACACTGCTGTGATTCTGCAGGCCCCGACAGCAAAGGTCACCAGTTATCCTGCGTTTGTCTTCACGGTGATCGGAAGCCCAATGAGAGGAAAACCAACTTGGAGCGATTCAAGGTAACCCTTCAGCGTTCCAACGCCCCGCCCGTGGAACGTTCCTGCTCACAGGAACGTTGATTCGTCTGATTTTTGTGTCTTCAGAGAAAAGAAGTGAGGCTGCTGATCTGCACAGACGTAGCCGCCAGAGGCATCGACATCCACGGCGTTCCCTATGGTAACGGAGTGATGTGTTTCATAGACACGTGCAGCCATTTTGCTCTGCTCTGACCTTCTGCCTCCCTCTGCCTCAGTGATAAACGTCACCCTGCCAGACGAGAAGCAGAACTACGTCCACCGCATCGGCAGAGTCGGACGAGCTGAGAGGTGAGCGCCTCTACTGAGATTATTAATGTGTTCATCCTCCCTTTTGGACTAATTCATTCATTTTTAATAAATGAATTTGTTCTTTTCACCCTCAGAATGGGACTTGCTATCTCTCTGGTGGCCATGGAGAAAGAAAAGGTAAAGTTGGTTCGAGTTATCTCTTGATTGCACCAGCTGAAGTCTGTTTGTCTCCCCTTCACCTGTGCAGGTGTGGTACCACGTGTGCCCGAACAGAGGCAGAGGCTGCTACAACACCCGGCTGAAGGAAGACGGAGGCTGCACCATTTGGTACAACGAGAAGGAGGTGAACTAGGACCATTTCAGCAAGTTAAAAGTGCCTTTAGAAATAAAAAACCATCCGGCTGTTTTCCTTTTTACTTCAGCTCTTGTCAGACATCGAGGAGCACCTGAAGTGCACCATCACTCAGTGTGAGCCAGATATCAAAGTACCAGTGGATGAGTTTGATGGGAAGGTGACCTACGGACAGCGCAGGGCTTTAGGAGGTATCGAGGACAGTTTTATTATACTTTCTGTGTTTGTGTGGAGCGCTACATCAAACCTGTTGCCCCTGTCCAGGTGGAAACTACAAGGGCCATGTGGATGTCCTGGCCCCAACAGTCCAGGAGCTGGCCCTTCTAGAGAGGGAAGCTCAGACGTCCTTCCTCCACCTGGGATACCTGCCAAACCAGCTGTTCAGAGCCTTCTAAACACAACGCAGCTAGCGTAGAAACCTCCAGGCTTCCGTTTCAGGATTAATGTCGAATAGGAAGTGTGTGTGGATCCTGACCGAGTGCTACAGGGTTCGGGCTAGAACATGGCAGCAGTTTACCAGGTTTTTCATTTGGGTCATTTATTTAAATTTAGGTTAGAAGTTGGTAGCATTAAGTATCTGAGCCTTTAGCACATGTCTCTCTTTAGATTTACACTTCCAGTGACAACAAAGAGGAGCGAATACCAAACTTGAATGCTGAGCCGGATTTGTTTGCGTCTGGATTCGTTTTCTGATGAAATCACATAAAGTGGATTAAAAAGGTCTGGATGACGCGGGCTTGTTTTCCCTCAAATAAAATAAAAGCTTGATTTATGCATTCAAAAGAGAATTCATTTATTCTAAATGTACTCTATCTTCCAGTTTTTATACATTTAACTGCACTACTCTTAATGGACAGCAGGTTATTCTGCTCATGATCATAGGGGTGGTCACCCCAAAATCCTGACTGGGCCTCTTTAACACATCATCACTCTCTTTTGCCAACAGGCTTTCCCTTTTTAAAATCGGTTCTGGAATTTTCTAGTTTGCAGGGTATCTGCGGGTCCTTAAAAAGTCTTAAATTAGCTTTTCCAAATTTAAGGCCTTAAAAATCCTTAAAATTGACAAATAATCCTTAAATAGTTTCCAAAGGTCTTAAATTACCAAAGACCCAATAAACAAGATTCTTTTATTTCTATAAAATTTTCGTGAATTTCTAGTTAGTGTTCAGCATTTTGTGTGTACGATGTTGCCGTAAGCCGAACCGTAAACATTCGGTTGGTTGTGAAAGGGGGCTATTTTTAGATGAGCACATTAGCTGGTTAAGCTAGTGGGAGCTTGCACCATGGGGAAGTGCAACATTAATGGTAACTGGATGGCTAATCCCACATTCACGACGTGGTTAGCACCGGTTCCAGGCAATAGCTGGAAATTATAGCTTAAATTTAATTTTAAAAATTAGCTTAAATTTGGTCAAAGTGGCCTTTAAAAAGGTCTTAAAAAGTCTTAAATTTGGCTCCCTTAAACCTGCACATACCCTGAGTTTGGGGGTTACTGACCCGGTGACCACGAGCACCACCGATGTCTTCACTCTCCAGGCTCTCCAGTTCTTTGAGGCCCTGGTACTTCTCTAGTTTCTCGTGTTCCTTTTTCCTGATGCTGCGTCACTTTGAAAGAAAGAAAACAGCCTTTTATACAGCGCCTCCGAATAAAGAAAAATAATATAACGATTAAAAAACAATACAAAAATGAGAAAAATTAAAAATGTGATTTATAATATAGAAAGAAAGACAAAATGAAGAAGTTTGGTGTCTCCACATTAGCCACAACGGCTGTCCTCTGTTGTTTGTCCACCACCACAATGTCCGGTTGGTTCTCCGTCACCATTTTGTCAGTGTGGATCTGGAAGTCCCACAGAAGCTTGGCTCTCGTTCTCTACCACCTTAAGGGGTGTCACCCACTTTGACCTTGGGGTTTCCAGTCCATACTCTGCACAGAAGTTTCTGTACACGATGCCAGCCACTTGATTGTGGCGTTCCACGTTTGCTTTCCCTGCCAGCATCTCACACCCTGCAGGTATGTGGTGGACTGTCTCAGGGGTGTTCAGGGGCTGTTCCTGTGCTGCCATGATGAGTGCCTCTGTGCTGTCCTTCAGACCAGCTCTTTCTAGATATTGATTTTTTCTTTTTTTTTTTGCCAGCATGGATCATGTCAGGCCCTGTCCAGTTTTACTTCGTCTTCGTCGTCGTCTTCCTCCGCTTATCCGGGTCCGGGTCGCGGGGGCAGCATCCCAATTAGGGAGCTCCAGGCCGTCCTCTCCCCGGCCTTGTCCACCAGCTCCTCCGGCAGGACCCCAAGGCGTTCCCGGACCAGATTGGAGATGTAACCTCTCCAACGTGTCCTGGGTCGACCCGGGGGCCTTCTGCCGGCAGGACATGCCCGAAACACCTCCCCAGGGAGGCGTCCAGGAGGCATCCTGACCAGATGCCCAAACCACCTCAACTGGCTCCTTTCGATCCGGAGGAGCAGCGGTTCTACTCCGAGTCCCTCCCGAATGTCCGAGCTCCTCACCCTATCTCTAAGGCTGAGCCCGGCCACCCTACGGAGGAAACTCATTTTGGCCGCTTGTATCCGCGATCTCGTTCTTTCGGTCATTACCCAAAGCTCATGACCATAGGTGAGGATTGGGACGTAGATCGACCGGTAAATCGAGAGCCTGGCTTTCTGGCTCAGCTCCCTCTTCCCCACGACAGATCGGCTCAGCGTCCGCATCACTGCAGACGCCGAACCAATCCGCCTGTCGATCTCCCGATCCCTCCTACCCTCACTCGTGAACAAGACCCCGAGATACTTAAACTCCTCCACTTGAGGTAGGACCTCTCCCCCGACCCGGAGGTGGCAAGCCACCCTTTTCCGGTCGAGAACCATGGTCTCAGATTTGGAGGTGCTGATCCTCATCCCAGCCGCTTCACATTCGGCCGCGAACCTACCCAGCAAGAGCTGAAGGTCAGAGCTGGATGAAGCTAGGAGGACCACATCATCCGCAAAAAGCAGAGACGAGATTCTCCTGCCACCAAACTCGACACACTCCACACCACGGCTGCGTCTAGAAATTCTGTCTATAAAGGTAATGAACAGAACCGGTGACAAAGGGCAGCCCTGGCGGAGTCCAACCCTCACTGGGAACAGGTCCGACTTACTACCGGCTATGCGGACCAAACTCATTCTCCTCTGGTAAAGGGACTGAATGGCCCTCAACAGAAAGCCACCCACCCCATACTCCTGGAGCGTCCCCCACAGGGTGCCCCTGGGGACACGGTCATAAGCCTTCTCCAAATCCACAAAGCACATGTGGATTGGTTGGGCAAACTCCCATGCCCCCTCTATCACCCTTGCAAGGGTATAGAGCTGGTCCACAGTTCCACGGCCAGGACGAAAACCACATTGCTCCTCCTCTATCTGAGATTCAACTATCGATCGGACCCTCCTCTCCAGTACCTTGGCGTAGACCTTTCCAGGGAGGCTGAGGAGTGTGATCCCCCTATAGTTGGAACACACCCTCAGGTCACCCTTCTTAAAGATGGGGACCACCACCCCGGTCTGCCACTCCCTAGGAACTGCCCCCGATGACCACGCAATGTTGTAGAGACGTGTCAACCATGACAGCCCTACAACATCCATAGCCTTGAGATACCCAGGACGAACCTCATCCGCCCCCGGGGCTCCGCCGCTGTGTAGTTGTTTGACTACCTCAGCAACTTCTGCCCCCGAGATCGGACAGTCCATCCCCAGGCCTCCCAGCTCTGGTTCCTCCTCGGAATGCGCGTAGGTGGGATTGAGGAGCTCTTCAAAGTATTCCTTCCACCGTCCGACTATAGCCTCAGTTGACGTCAGCAGCTCCCCATGCCCACTGTAAACAGTGTGAGCGAGTTGCTGCCTTCCTCTCCTGAGGCGCCGGACATTTTGCCAGAACCTCTTTGGAGCCGATCGATAGTCTTTCTCCATGGCCTCACCAAACTCCTCCCACGCCCGAGATTTTGCCTCGGCAACTGCCACTGCTGCACCCCGCTTGGCTATCCGGTACCTGTCTGCTGCCTCCGGAGACCCACAGACCAGCCAAGCCCTGTAGGCCTCCTTCTTCAGCCTGACGGCTCCCCGAACCTCTGGTGTCCACCAGCGGGTACGGGGGTTGCCACCACGACTGGCACCGGCCACCTTACGACCACAGCTAGCAACAGCCGCCTCGACAATCGCAGAGTGGAACAAGGCCCACTCTGACTCAATGTCCCCCACTGCTCTCGGGACGTGGTCAAAGCTCTGCCGGAGGTGGGAGTTGAAGACCGTCTTGACAGGTTCTTCTGCCAGGCGTTCCCAACAGACCCTCACTATGCGTTTGGGTCTGCCAGGTCTACGCGGCATCTTCCCCTGCCATCTGATCCAACTCACCACCAGGTGGTGATCAGTTGACAGCTCCGCCCCTCTCTTCACTCGGGTGTCCAAAACATACGGCCGCAGGTCAGATGATACGACTACAAAATCTATCATCGACCTGTGACCTAGGCTGCCCTGGTACCAAGTGTACCGGTGGGCATCCTTATGTTCGAACATGGTGTTCGTTATGGCCAAACTGCGGCTTGCACAGAAGTCCAATAACAAAACACCGCTCGAGTTCAGATTAGGTGGGCCGTTCCTCCCAATCACACCCCTCCAGGTCAAGCTGTCATTGCCCACGTGAGCATTGAAGTCCCCCAGCAGGACAATGGAGTCCCCTGATGGAGCACTATCTAGCACTCGTCCCAGGGACTCCAAAAAGGGTGGGTACTCTGAACTGATATTTGGCCCATAAGCACAAACAACAGTCAGGACCCGTTCCCCGACCCGAAGGCGCAAGGAAGCTACCCTCTTGTCCCCCGGGGTAAACCCCAACACACAGGCAGAGAGTCTCGGGGCTAACAAAAAGCCAACCCCAGCCCTCCGCCTCTCACCCGGAGCAATTCCAGCAAAGTAGAGTGTCCAACCCCTCTCCAGGTCTCGGGTTCCAGAGCCAATGCAATGTGTCGAGGTGAGTCCGACTATATCTAGCCGGTACCGCTCAACCTCTGCCACAAGCTCCGGCTCCTTCCCCGCCAGCGAGGTGACGTTCCATGTCCCAAAAACTAGTTTTCTTGTCCGGGGATTGGACCGCCAAGGCTCCCGCCTTGGTCTGCCACCCGGTTCGCATTGTCCAGTTTTACATACCTGAAAAAAATAAATAATTATATACATATATATATATATATATATATATAAATGTAGCGTCGCTCTCTACAGCATTGGCTGCACGTAGTAAGAATGCCCTCTTTACTAGTAAGAATGGTATTTATACCAGTAACACTGTAAAATATCAACAGTTGTAGTAGGTGCAAATACAAAGGTTTAGGTGGCCATTTTAATACTTAATAAGTGGATTGGATTTGTACTCCAGATATCCATGATTCAGTACTTTCTAGTAAGAATGAACATTTAAGATATCTGAAATGTATTCGTCCTAGGACAAATGATGTCACTTATCTCATTCATGTGTATTGGGTTTGTAAAGCCTATCCACAATTACATTCCTCCCGTCCAGAACAGACATTGTAAAGAGGAGAAACTCAATTCTTAAAGGAGAAACTTGATTACAATGTAAGGCTCTCTAAAGGATAATTAAATAAAAAAATTTCAACATAGCTGTTGATTCTTCATAAAATTTTGATCAGTACGAACACAATTAGTACTAGGATAAATTATATTATTGCTATATAGAATAGGAATTAACGAGAGGTCCAATTGTTGATTAAACGTTAAAACA